AATTTTTTCGAGGTATAGCTTAATTCTGACAATAAGGATCTCTAATCTTTAAGCCACCAGTATCCTGATGGCTAAAAAATACGGATGGTCGAAAAATTAGAGGTCTTTACTGTCATATTTGTTAGTTTGTTGATGACATTGTGAAAGTCAATGTTCTATAAAATGTTCGAGCTTAGACCAACATAAATACACACACATAAGTCATTGACGTGCCCATTCTTACTTGATCATACGTATAAATGGAAGAGACATATTAGTTCTCAAGCATGCATAAGCATAAATGTGCTTTTGTCTTGAGACCAAAACTCAAAAACACATTTTTATCTATACAAAACCAAAAAAAATCATAAAATACTGTTCTTGATTTTCTAAAGGTTCAAGAAAAAGAACAAGTTTATGCCATGCATGTTGAGAATGTTGATTTTAGTTTCATTTACATACATGATCAAGTAAATAAATTTATAAGCGCATGCTTAAGGTTTTCAATTATTAAAAGTGAAATCGAAGTTCTCAAAAATAGATATCCAAGAAGACTTAAAGCTTCTTGGATATTCATTTTCGAAAAGATTCAAAATTTTTTAAAAATGAATATTCAAGAAGTTTGAGTCTTTTTGAAAATGAATATCCAAAAATCTTTAAAGCTTCTAGGATATGGATATTCAAGAATCCTTAAAACTTATCGAATATCCATTTTTAAGAAACCTTAAAGCTTATCGAATATTCATTTTTAAAAAATTCAATTTTAGAAAATAAAGAGAGAAAAATGATAGGAATGAAAAATAAAAAGAGAGGGGTGACGGTGTATTTAGTAGAAATAAAAATTAAGTTTTTGAATTTGGTGTGTATTTAGAAATTGAGTGTATAAAATAGAAATGGGGTGTAAATAGAATTTTTAGTTTTTTTATCGTAGGTTTCAACTTTTTTTAAACAATTTTTATAAGACATGTAAGCCACATTTTTCTTTTTGTTTTAAGGTGTGGACTTTTTTTTTCAATCATTTTTTTTGTTTTTTTAATTGGGGGGCTCACATGATTTTTTAAAAAAATTCTTTTAAAAGATGTGGGACTCATTTTTTTAAAAAATTTATCTTCTGTTTTTTTTTTTTGAAATTTTTTATTATATTTAATATTTTAAAAATTTTCGTGAGACTCACTTATGCCAATTTTTTCTACCCTTTTTAACTTTTTAAACAAAATTTATCTTTTTCATTTTAATTTTATTTTCATAATATGAATTTTTGATAAAAACTTATCGTAATTGACGTCACATGCAAAATAAATTTCTTTAGAAATGATTATAATGTCCTTTTAATTACTTCACTATTGAGTTACATGCATTCAAATTAATTGTGATGCATCTTTTTCTATGATTAACTAAATCTACAACCATTATTACGAAAATACTCTCTTACCAAGATTTGCCAAAATGACTATAATACCTCTCCTACTATATTTATGAAAATTCTCATATTATTGTCAAAATACTATAATACCTTCTAACCATAATTAACAAAAATATTATTTTATCATAATTACGAAAATACCTATTATATTTTAATGAGTTAGAATTACTATAATACCCACTAACTATAATTACAAAAAAACCCATTTTGATTGCTCCATATAATGCCTCTCCAATCATAATTACAAAAATACCAATCATATTATAATTAATCAAAATTACTATAATACCCTTTAAGCATAAGTATGAAAATACCTTTGATTGTTTCATAATTATGCATTAATTTTAACATTCGTATAATAATATAAAATTAATCCTCTTAAAAATAATTATAATGCTTTTTAATTACTTGACAATTGAATTACATGTATTGAAATTCATTATAATGCCCTTTTTCTATAATTAACTAAAATAACTATAATATCCCTCTTAATATAATTACTAAAATCCCCCTTTTATTATAATTGCCAATATTACTCTAATGGCCCTACATCCATAATTACATAAATGCATTCCTACCATAATTACAAAAATACCTCTCATATAATTTGCCAAAATTACTATAATATCATCTAACCATAAGTATAAAAATGCCCTTTATTATAATTACAAAAATAACACTTATATTATAATTGACTAAAATTACTATAATATCTTTTACCATAATTACAAAATACCCTTTTGATTGCTTTATTAATGCTTTTCCTACCATAATTACCAAAATACCACTGATATTAAAATTTGCCAAAATTAATATAATTACGAAAATGCCTTCTAACTATAATTATGAAAATACCCTCTCATATTATAATTGGTTAAAATTATTATAATATTCTTTAACCATAATTACAAAAAAAAAAAAAGAAAAACCCTTTTGGTTGCTTCATATAATGATTCTCTTACCATAATTATGAAAATACCCCTTATATTATAATTGATCAAATTACTATAATATCCTCTAAGTATAATTATGAAAATATCATTTTTATTATTTCATAGTTATGCATTAATTTTACATCCTGCAATAATATGAAATTAATCCTTTTTAAAATAATCATAATACCCTTTTAATCACTTAATTATTAAATTACATGCATCCAAATTGACTGTAACGCTCTTTTCTTATGATTAACTAAATTATTATAATTGCTCCTCTCAACATATTTACTAAGATACCCTCTTATCATAATTGGCTAAAGTTAATATAATATCCCAACAATCATAATTACGAAAATGACCTCCTACTATCATTTACCCAAATTATTATAGTGTCTTTTTTATCATAATTACGAAAATACTCTTTATATTATAATTTACCAAAGTTACTATGAAGCCTTTCTTACATAATTATAAAAATATCATTTTTATTGTTTTATAATTACATGTTAAATTTGAATATACATATAATTATATGAAAGTTAATCTCATTGAAATGATCATAATGCTTTCTAATTATGTGGACATTTGAATGATATACATCCAAATTGACTATAATACCCCTCATATAATTAACTAAAATTATTATAATTCCCTCCTAACATAATTACTAAAATACATCTTTTACCATAATCAGTCAAAGTTATTACAATGCTTTGGCAATCATAATTACAGAAATGCCCTTCTATACTATTGGTCAAAATTACTATAATACCCCTCCTATCAAATTAAAATTATTGATTTTTTTCTTTAAAAATTTAAGTTGAACGGGAGAGATATTAGTAGGCTTTGATTCCATGAATAAACGGGTTTGAATTTGATAATTGATCAATGTTGATAATAGATAAATATTTAATTGGTAGGTTAGATTTTCATGTATATATTATTGGGTTTTGATTTAATTTATATAATTTTTTTAAAGTAATCTTTTTTATTTAAAATAAAAATTGATATCTGACAATTACAATTGAATGATACAGTTCGAGTATCATTTTTTTATTTTTTTCAAAAGATAAAAATAAAAAAAAACCAATAAAATACTAAAAAATATTTATTTTTAATTATTAAATAAATTTTGTATAATTTATATTTCATTAAAATAAAAAAATTTGTAACGGGGCGTAGTAGGGTAGTTTTTCTAGTTAATGTAAACTAAACTCATTAGTGCATTTTGTCAGGCAGGAAATTTGAAAAAGGCCCCAGCTGTTGTTTGATATTATGATTGAGAAAGGGCTAACACCCGATCTAGTTATCTACATAATAATGATAAGTGGCTACTGTAAAGTGAAATTTTTTGCAGGAAGCCTTGGATCTTTTCAACATTATGAAGGAGAGAGGGATTAAACCTGGTTTTATCAGTTACGCGGTCTTGCTTAACAGCCATGCAAATATAAATTTGAGGTCGCTTTCTAGTCCTGATGTGACACAAACAAAGACAAGACGATAATGGATGCCTTCAATTTTATGGAAAGAAATTGAAGCACCTGGGGGTAGAACCTGATGTTGTTTGCTATACTGTTTTGATTGATCAGTAGGGCAAACAACCTTCGGGATACAATTAGGATGTTTGATGAAATGATTGATACAGGATTGAAGCCTGATAATGTGACATATACAGCTCTTATATATGGCTATTGTAAAAGAGGATATGCAGAGAAGGCTGTAATCCTTGTCAACGAAACGTCAAGTGGGGCATACAGCCAGACACCTGTATCATGTCAGCTTTGCACCATGGTATATTGAAAGGATTAAACTTTTACAAACCCCTTAAAATAAATATACAAAAAAAATAATTTTCACAAGATTTTCCAAAGAGCAGCAGCACGTTCAGTTCTGAGTGAACTTGGAATTGATCCAACCCAAAGAGACGGTTTTTCAGTTTCTGACGCATCTCCAGCAGTATCTTTGGGTGGTTATTTTCTTTTTCTGCATTGCTCTTTTCTCAAACTCTGGGTTCAACAAGTGCCTGATCCTTTCATCAGATCTAGCAGTCCATTGCAGGACCAGAGATCCTTATTCTGGTATGTCAATTTCACCCGTATCAAGTCCATTGGCAACAGGAGAAGGGGATTTGTTTTTGACCAAAACCAAGTTGAAACTCATAAAACAGGGAGGAAGCCAGTCACCCACATCTCGTCGAACAAACTGACAGGATAGTGGTAGTAGGCCTATCTTATAGTCTTTTAAATCATGTTATAAATCAATCACATTGTTCATGTAATAGATAATAACCAAATGTTATGGAAGCCATTTATGAATTCAATTGGATTAATTGACATTTTATTATTTTATTATGTTATATGTGGTGTTATTTTATCAGTATTTTCTTCCTCAATCGCCCCACTGCCCGCTCGCTGCATGTTCTGTTTGGTTGCTAAATCACCATGAGTTTTTGCAACAATCACCGCTGGAAGTATTTATTGTGTACAAGGTCAATAGATATTACGCAACCAGCGGTAGGCATAGGCAGTAGGCAATAGGTAATAGCAGCCCAAGTTGGTGACATTTCAAGCTTACAGCTTCTAACACTAGAATCTCTACTCTCACCTTATTCAAAAGGGCAAAAGGGGTTAACGAAATGAAGATGCTGCCTCACTTTGACGACATGATAATGTTATGCTAAAACAACCATGCTGTGATTTAGAAAGTAAATTCCAATAATTAGCGTTCATCTTTCTATAACTCATGAAGTACCATTCAAACATAGAAAAACGCAAATTATCTTAAACTATTTCACACAAAATTGTCATATAGAGCATTCCCTTTATACTTCTCTCCACATAAAGCAAATATCGACCAAAGCATAGCTGAGAAGAAGCCCATTTAAAACATTAACGTCAAACTATACCCAAAAACTCGAACCATCGGATATTACAAATTCCTTCAAGCAGCTTGTTTTGTTGACTCCATAAGCTTTATGAATTCTCTAAAAGCTGTACCAAGAAATAACTTGATTTGAGCAAGAGAAATCATTTTAACAAACATAGAAATCTGCAATCTGTCAAAATTAGGCATAGGAAAGAAATTTTTACCTAAATCTGAATCATGAGGTCCTGGCGATGCTTCAGGATGGTATTGAAGAGACATAATATTTAACGCAGGATAAGCTAGACCAGCGCAGCTTCCATCATTAAGATTAACATGAGTCACTTCTACACCCTCAGGGAGTGATGCAGGATCAACTGCATAGTTGTGATTCTGCCAATCATAAATTCTAAGGTGAAAACACAACCCCAAAGAAATATTGCAACTTCAAACACATGGAAGCTGAATACTTAGCAGAAATATATCCAAACTTATAAATACTCCACAACATTGTCAAAAAATATATTGATTAGATCTGCAATATTCAATGAATATATCAATTTTTTTTTTTAATTTCTTTTGCGTGTGTGTGTGTTTTGTTAAGTGTGGGGGTTAAGTGGGGTTGATCATCCTAGGGGTGTAATCGAGCCAAATCAAGACAATACAGTGAAAAACTCGAGCTTGAGCTCGACTCCTAACTCGCGACTCAATACTCAGCTTGAACATAATCGAGTTTCATTTTCCTAGCTTGAGCTTAATTTACGATTGAAATCAAACTACTCGAACTCACTTGATTAAGCTCGATTAATATATAAAAATAAACTCGATTCTTATACTTGACAAAAGTTCGATTCTCAAGATCGAGATCTTTTATAACTATTTTTTATCAAACCTAATAAAAAATGCTTTAAATAATCCCCTGTCATTTTTTTTTAGTTTATTCAAGACATTTTTTTGCCTTGAATAATTCCTTACAAAAAATTGAATGGGGTTATTAAATGTATTTTTAGCCAAAAACCCCTTGAATAATCATCTTCAATTTTTATAAGAGGATTATTTAAGATGTTTTTAGCCAAAAACGCATTGAATAATCTCATTTAATTTTTTATTGCGAGTTATTCAAAGCGTTTCTAGCAAAAAATGCCTTTAATAATTTCCTTCAATTTTTATGAGAAGATTATTTAAAGTGTTTTTGACAAAAAATGCATTGAATAATCTCATCAAATTTTTTAGAAGGGATTATATATATTTTTTGGGATTATTCAAGATGTTTTTGGCCAAAAATACCTTAAATAATCCCTTACAAAAAATTGAATGAGGTTATTCAAGACATTTCTGGCCAAAAACGCTTTGAATAATCCCCTTCAATTATTATGAAAAGATTATTCAAGGCGTTTTTAGCAAAACATGTCTTGAATAATCTCCTCTAATTTTTTATTAGGGATTATTCAAGAAATTTTTGCTCAGAAAATACCTAAGCAAAAACACCTTGAATAATCTCTTATAAAAAATTGAATGGGAATATTTAAAGAAAAAAGAAAAGGGATTATTCAGGCGTTTTTTGCCATAATCCGCCAATAAAAAATTGAATGGGAAATATTTCTCAAAAAAAAAAAAAGGATTATTTAATATATATTTTTTATAAAAACCACTTGAATAATCCTTCAATTTTTATTAAGGAATTATTCAAGGCATTTTTACTCAAAATAACCTTGAATAATCCATTATAAAATTTAATGAAAATATTCTAAAAAAAAAAGAGGGATTATCAAGAGTTTGGCCAAAACACCTTGAATAATTCCTCATAAAAATTGAAAGGGATTATTTAAGTCCTTTTTTGCAAAAAAACGTATAGAAATAATCCCTTACAAAAAATTTAAAGGGGATTATTCAAGGTGTTTTAGTGCTAAAAACGCCTTAAATAACTCTCTTCAATTTTTGTAAGAGATTATTCATTTTTGATCAAAAAAACACCTTGAATAACCCCATCAAATATATATAATAGAAAAACTTATTAGATTGCGAGCTATTCAAACCGAGTACTAATATGCTCGAACTAGACTCATTCGATAAGTCGAGCTACTCGAGCTTTAGCTCGGCTCGATAATTATCGAATCAAATTCAAATTTTAAACGAATCGAATCCGAGTAGCTTGCGAGTACTAATGTATTATTTACACCTTTAGGTCATCCCATCGTAAAATCTAAATCCATGCTAACAACACTATACTTGCATACAAGGGATGTATCGGTTAGCGAATTATTCAATGGAAACACATTGGCTACTTAAACACACCTGAGCACTAATCTCAACATGACCATTGCAAAGATTGCGAACAGGATGATTTCCTCCATGGTGACCAAACTTCATCTTAAAGGTTTTACCACCCAAAGCCTGCCCAAGTAACTGATGGCCCATGCAAACTCCAAAAACAGGAACTTTTCCCAGAATTTCCTTGACTGTTTCAACAGCATAAGGAACAGCAGATGGATCTCCTGGACCATTGCTTAAAAGAACTCCATCTGGCTTCAGCTTAAGGGTTTCAGCTGCTGGCCAAGTGGACGGCACAACAGTGATTTTACAGCCATAAGATGCTAAACGTCGAAGTATATTATGCTTGATCCCAAAATCATACGCAACAACCTTCAATTTAAAAGAAATGGAGAAATGTAAGAGCAGACACAAAGCAAAGATCTAAAAGCACCAACATAAACTTCAAAAATATTTCTAACTGTGTAAGTCTCTTGATCTCTTCCATTAGAGTTGAACTCCCATTCTGATTTTTGTTTTATCAACCCACTCATAAGGGGCATTGCAGGTAACGCCACTTATTAAATCAACACCTGCAAAAATAAAGACAAGAATAATAGAGATACAGTTAATCTTAAACTTTTAAAAATACTCGTAACTTTCAAATAAGATCCAACTATTCTTACCTACAATGTCCCATGAACGTGACATCTTCAAAAGTTCTTCATCACTTCTAGATTGTTCTGTGCTCAAAACTCCAATAAGACTTCCATCTTGCCTCAATCTGCGGGTGATTGCACGTGTGTCAACATCATCTGCCATTATAGGAAAGCATCAAGATACAAAGGAGGTCAGAAGCTATGCCCAGAGAACAAACAAATTTTTTATGAGCATGTTTTCTAAAGTTAAGCAGTCTACTAACTAGATATCCAGTGCCATATATACAACTTACAAATTCCCATAATATTTCTTTCTGCTAAATAATAACTAAGTGTTTCTGCACATCTCCAATTCGAAGTACTGCAAAACATTTAATTAAAATTTGATAAATAAATGAGGAAACCTTTTGTTCCAAAGCTGTAAATTGCATATCTAAGATGTTAAAAGAGGAAATTTACGAAATACTTAGACTTCTGATCACCAGACCAGCAAGAAAGCACTGCCTTGATTCTTCATCATCTGATGGGGTAGGCATCAACATCAGATCATATATAGTTTTCAACAAGTCAGCATTGAAATGATCAAAAGATAAATTTCACTTACCAAAAATTTACTCCGGTATTGCCAATATGTGGATTGGTCATCAGGACAAACTGACCAGCATAACTAGGGTCTGTTAAAATTTCCTGATAACTGCACAACAATTGTATTTTGGCCATGAATTAGACTATGAATACAGAAACTTCTTTTTCCAAAGTCATAACAGGGAAGAAAGTCTACAAATACACTGCAAAAGAAATAATAAGAGCAAAAACGATCTTTTGAAGGCCAGCCCAAATAAAAACAACAGTGAATTAAAACAAGTCTGTAACTTCAATGATTCAATTATTATGCAAACTCTATATAATCTTACTGAAAATAACTTCAAATTCAAAATTTTACTAAAACTTTAGATTTATCCAACCTCACCTTATTTCGGGCAATCCATTGTTCAATACCCCACATTACGCATCAGTAAAAAATTTCTTTAATTTAGTTAAAATTCTAAAGAGAAACAGAAATCCAGAATACTATATCATCTTACCCTGTTAAAGAAGTGTTAAAAACCACCTCGCCGACTTGGGTTCCAGAGGCACCAAAAGATTTAGCCCTCCAAATAGAACCATCTTCAAGAGCCAGCCTAGCATCCGCTACCTTCCATGGCCTCTCCGCCAATCCTTAAACCACCCATCACCAAAGATATTTCCACATTATTTCAAAACTATATAGGAAAAAAGAAAGACAAAATTTGGAAGGAAAAAGTGAAAAAGAGTTTACCAGTGGCGGCACCGTCAGAGGAGA